AATTTTTTTCGCCATTTATGTATTTCTGGGGTATTAACATGTAAATCCGGAAGGCCACACTGTATATATATCATTAGATTTTTGGATTTTCGTATATATTACGTGAAAATTGCTATCAATGCCTTTTAGTGACCCATAATTTCTTTTATTGAATTTTAATAAAATAATATATCAACTGAACTAACTTTTGTTCTAAACATGTTTTCCTTTTTGCAAATCATAAAATTTAGATCTGTTTATGTACATTTCATGAATTATGTAAAATCACTGTCAAAATATGCGAGGCACTTCGGAAGACAATCAAACCGACTGCATGCGGTGTCTCATCCGCAGCTCGATACACGAAATCACCAGGTCCTGCTGATAATTGATGAGGGCAGCTCTGCCTTGGAGCTCTCAAGCTCGATGCTCACGGGGTGTAGCGCATTCATCAAACCCCACGTTGTTTATTGAGCTACAGCGCCACATTACAAGACAACCGGACACGCGCATAACTAAACGGGCGCCTACGACACTAGTTATATTCAAATTAGCCCCGTTCTACATCTGTAACATCTACTGTTTCAGGCATTTGTTTTAAGCCTTTTTAGATTTATTACAGGCGGATATTGCATCTGCATAAAATATTTAAAATGCCTATAATATTAATATTATCTGTATTAATTATAAGCAGATTTCTGTTTCAATCGGGTTTTTATTACGACACACTTTTCCATCTATATACAATAACAACTACTCGGAAAAAAATTGTGTTTGTCTATGATTTTTTTGCTATTTCTAACACCGCACATTTGATGGTCAGCTGTATTAAAATGCAGGATATATTTACAGATTTATTTGTTATTTGGCCACCGAGTAATATAGGTTGTTATACTGATTCGCTACAATAGAGAGTAATATTTTGAATACTAAATTACGAATCAGGTTGTTTGATATTGTCTATCTTTATTTCCATTTTTTAGAATTATGAATTATGTCAACGATGTTTACAAATTATTACGAATTATTGTTAATGTAAATTTTAAAGCTTTTGAGTCTATTATCGATAAGCTGGGGGTAGTTGTTGAAGTGTATCTCTCGAGGGTTGATTATATACTAACAGATTGCATTTATTGAAAATTTTATCACAATGAGTTTATAAATACCTGAAATATAAGTACATATCCAAAACATCACCTTTTTTTTGACCCTGTGCACGAGGGAAGTAAAAAGTGCACATACAGAAGATAGTTTTGATAAAGATGCGATAAGTATGCATACTTTTTTTAGTGACAATTATTTTTGATAGCTTTTTTTCTTTTTGGGTTTTAAAACTAATTTTATAGGCATTGTAAATAATAGGAATTAGAATGATGAATATGTTCTCTCAAATTTGATCGTGTGAGATGAGACACATTACTTCTCAAGGTAAATTAACAGCCAGAATAATCTGAAACGTTTACAACTAGCATTTGTTTCATGACGTGCATTCGCCTTTGGAGGAGTTTTGCAATATCTTTTTTATGATGGTGGTTTATGATAATATTCGAAGTTGATTTATGTTTGTACGTGAATTTGTTGCTAAGAATATCTTCAAATTTGTATACGAGAGATGTGTGATTTCAACAAGATGGTCGAAATTGGCATGCTGTCAGGGTATTAACTGATTCCTGGATCCAACAAGTATTCAGTTGTTTTCTCTTTTCAAAATTTTTTGGCCGCCTAGAAGCCCTGATTTACTCATCCTTTATTTTTATCTGTGAGGTTGCTTGATACATATTAGTATGGAAAACAATAGAAAAATTTAATATGTAATATATTTATTAAATGATATGATTAGCTTAATCATTATCAAGCGTATACAATACACCATGATAAATGTATAAGATAATAAAATGAAACGTTTATTCCATTTGTTGAGAAATACAACCAGTATTCGACTTTATCGATATATAAGATGTGGCTGAGATTCCACAGTGAACTATAGGTTTTCGTTTCGGAACATATACATTTTTTCAACATGTAAATTTCTATTCATTTTTCATTAAATGAAACAAGCAATTCCATTTTTCAATTTTATTCTCATGGAAACCAAAATAAAATAAAAAAACAAATTTCATTTGAAGCTGCAAATCATTTCTTCAGTTTCTAAGTCCCCAATTAGCATCAATAACAGCTCGACATGGTTTAGGCATTCTACAAGTGAAATTATTGATGTAATCTTGAAAGATATTGGCCCAAATTCCTGAAATGGTCACTCTCAATTCTCTTATTATTTGTAGTTGAGGTTGATGGTTACGTATGGTTCTTTTGAACGTAAACCACATTTGTTCAATGGAACTGAGGTCTGGAACCTCGGTGGGAGTGGAAGTGTTGGAATTACAAAATTCTGCTGTGCATTGGTAAGGATTCTTGCACGATGAGGACGGGCATTATCATCCAACAAAAAAGTTTCTCACAATAGCACCATAAAATTGAGGAACAATGTTGTTTATGATATTGTCAACATACACTTGAGCTATCATCGTTCCTTCAACAATAAACAAAAACCCTGAAGCATATGCCTCACATAAAACCATGATTGAACCATCGTCATAATCGTAAAATTCTCGCTACCCTGGCCTCGTCCATACGATACTCGGTTATCTAAAATCTCTCACCAGTTTTAGGTAATAAATAGATCCATTATTTCGCCAATCGAGATGTTCACACTACGTCCATTCCAATCTCCTCGTTTATGATGTACGGTCAAGGGAAGTCTTCTCAGACGTTGTCTGTAAACTATACCTCGATTCCTCCAAACATTTTCGAATCGTTTCTATCGATAGATGTACTCTGCTGAAATTGTCTAGTGCATCTGCTATGTTTCTTGACGTGCAGCATCTCTCTCTATTGGCAGTCAGATAATGTTGCGATCTTGAAATGCAATGGTTTTTCTTAAATGATCACTTCTAAATCTCCCAGATGCTGAGAAATGATATTTTGAGACACATTGAATTCTTCAGCGCCCTAGACAAGATTTCGTGTGGTATATGTTAAAATTTATAACATCTTCAATTTATCTTTCTTGGAGTACTTTATCTAGAAATTCTTCAATAAATATGAGCTTTGATGTTTCATATTTCAAGTAGTGCAACATCTTCATCATTCATATATATGGTTGTTTGGTCGTTTTCTTTTCTGGGTATAAAAATCAGATATAAATTTGACCAGTTTGAATACGAAACAGTAAACGGTGTTTTGCAACTGAAGTAAAATATTATATACTGAAAAAACATTAGGCGGTTTAAACGTATACTTTTAAAGTCATTATGTTATTCTAAGCTTGTAATTAGCAACAACATAACAGAAAATCTCCACTAAACAATTATATTTTGATAACAACAACTTTATTTAAATAAACCGTCTACATGATTCTTTGTCCTACAGCATTCCTTCGGGTCAACAGAGCGATTACTTTCATCTCATTTCAACTTGGTTAAATCACGTTATTCTCTGTTTGGTTGTCACACACGCTTATCTCGGAGGTGCTTAAGGTTTAATGAATTCGAAGTCCCTGTGTTATTTCAGTGAAATGTATTTCAGTAAATTGATATTTAATTCTCCATCGTCGTTGATACGCGACACGCAACATGGATTGCAACACTATTCATACGCAAGACAAAATGTATGACTACTTTGTATTATTTAAACTCTGGATTGATAGGTTACTCTCGTAATTAACAGTCAGCATTCAATCTGATACATTACGATAAAAGCATTAAAGAATATCCAAATATTGTGGTGATTTCTTCATTTCGTAACACTATTTTTAGGAAGTCTTACTTTTATTTTTATTGAAAAACACTCAGGAAAAATTATAGATGATAGTGGATAGATGGGACTTTTCCTTTTCGTTCCGAGTTTAACGGAGTAATGAGAATAAAAAATACCGAAAACAGAGGTTATTTGACACAAAATTTTTGGTAGTATCGAAATATCTTTGAACATATAAACGAATTCCAACAATTAGAAATTTAGATGCTTTTAGTTTCACTACGTGTTATTGCGAAATATGGAACAAGTAGATCAATTAGTTTTTGAAATAATTTTTTTATTTGTATGCTGTCCTAAATTGTCCAAGACAAAGAATTTAGCATATTGAGATCTATAATACGTCAGATTCTCATCAAATATCCAAAATACTCTTTTCCCAATATGTTTTTCTGTAGGATAATTCAGTCTTCTGACTATATTGGAGGTGTCGATTATGTCAGTGTCTTTTTTTACTGGCAAACTAAATTTATTTTGTCCTTCACTGCTTTTAACAATTTGGGGTTCTCTTCGTAAGAATCTAACATTGTACTGGATCTCGTCACCATTGTACATTCTTCTTATGATATGTCCAACGTAATATCTCTTGGGGCTCTTCTGGATAAATCTTACAGTATAGCAAATTTGTTATACATCCTTTGTTACTGTTCTCGACGTACCCTTATTGACCCCTAGGTGATTAGCTTGGGGTGTGGGCTGTATGTGTTTAGATAAAAAGTTGATAACACTTACAGATAGTATACACAGAAAACTACAAAATTTGTTGCGTTTTAAAACTAGGGACATGGCAGGTACTTGCTTGCTATAAGCTTGTACTCTTTCGACTTAATTGGTAATTACTTGACTTAAAAGAAAACAATATCTCTAATTTTTTTCATGTCATATTTCACCAGCAACCATTCTCCAATCTGACATTCTCTTGGTTGGTTACTAGACTTTTCATCAATTTCCTTGTCAGAATCAATATCGCTGTACCTTCCTTCATCTTGCTTCTCATAATAAATATTGCCGTGCATCTCATCATTTTGCTCATCGGAATCAATATTAGCACTTGAATTTTAATCTCCATTGGAATATCAGTTCATCTCCACTACATGACGATTTGGAATTTGTATCTTTTTTTTAATAAACACCACATAAATTAGACAACCCCTGAATTCAAGCCCAAGCTGTACTTACAAAGAAATTAACATGCAATCATTCGATATTGCTGGTGGCGGGATTTGAACCCGCAGCTACGATAGCAAGATTTCTAGTCATGCCTGCATTCGTGCGCTCTAGCCAACTATATCAATGACTACACCAACTACATCACCTTCTCTCATCTCTTCAAATGTGATGATGTTACCAGCTGTACATTACGTCTGGTTTTTACTGGACCTTGAGCAGTGGCCCTGATTTTTTTTTTTTTTTTGTTGAAAATGGCTTTTGGAATGAACCATACAGCCAGTCACACTTTTTATAATTAATAATAAATACTCCTAACCTAGCATAAACTGTATATCTATAGATACATAAAATCCGAGATAAAATCGAAGAGAAATGCAGGTACAAGTTCTTCTCGCATAGAGGCCCGTCAGGCATTTTTATTTTCACAAACAACCCTGAACATGGATTAAGGAAACATTAACTTAACAATAAATAAAAACATAGGTAACGTCATCTAACTAAATATAAAAGAGAATCTATAGTCTGAGATTTGGTTTTTAATAAATTGAAATAGACACAAATAAATATGTCTTTTATTTGATGCAATAAATGCGAGATTAAAGGGCGTTCGACATTATTACTCGTATATTATTGTAGAGCAAATTACTAATTTCGGTTTTGTGACAGCAAAAAAATATATGTTCGAGGTCTCCCTAATTAATGATCCAAAGATTAGACTGTATAATGCCTATTCGGCGAGAGGCCCTGAGTTCTTGTAAAACAACTATTATATATTGAGGTACACTATTGTCAGCATCTGCGATTTCTCTTCTAAGAATTCGTGTCTTGGATCTCTTTCTGTCAACTGGATATAGCCCATAATTATTAAAATCAAGAATCAAATGTTCTTTTCCTCGATCGTTTTAAAGTGGCCTCTTTTGTACAATTTCTTTAGCAGGGTGGGAAATTCGTTCGTGGAAGAGTTCTAATTCGCGGCTATCGGCTTCTTTTAATTTGGCAAATTTCTCCAATGTACTTTATAGGAGTAATCTAGTGGATGGAGCATATGTCTGCAGTTTGGGACAATTAAATAAGACTTGTTTTGCTCATATGACTCATTTTTAGAAAAAATGCGAAGAAAGGTTATCCCCAAATATTAACTTTTTCCAGTTTTCTTCTAAGTATAGCAAAATAATTTTGAAAAACCAACTTGAAAGCAGAGGTATTAACCCATCCACTTTTCGCGTTTGCCATACATCTGTATTTCTTGTGCAAGAACTTAATGTTTCGTTTAGTGTAAAAATGTAAGTCTTGATGCCGAAAGAAACGGTTTGAATATAAATAATCCAGGGTATCTACAGCCTCTTATACTCGTAATAATTTTTTCCTTCCAGGATCGTCTATGAAATTTGTGTCGTCATAGTTTGTCAAGCATTCGGGACTAAAACGGATTCTTCGAGTATCAAAAAAAATATCTATTATTTTTTTACCTGGTAGTACGATGTTGGTGGAATATCTGTTAGAAATATCATTTTTGTTTCCTTCAGAAAATTATTTGCGCCCTCCTGGAATATTTATTTTAAAGCTTACCTCTGTTATCTGGTGAATGTTACAGTGCCAGCCCATTTAAAACTGGCCCAAATTTGCCGCCTCTTAAAAGAAATCAAAAGGAACAAAAAAATATTATTAAACATAACTAAAATTTATTATAGTTATTAAAATATATGGGTACTCATATAACTAAAATAAAAACAAAACATTCATATACAAAACGAAATATAAATTCTTACAAAAAAAAAAAACAATGGAACATAGAATTTTTCTGCATTTTTCTTTTACGAAATCTTTAACAACGTCATCGTATTCTACACTTGCACATATTTCAATCTCACTTGTGAGTATGGCTAGATCTTTTAATCTGTCCTGTGTCATCGTTGAAGGTAAATATTTTTTTATCAATTTAAGTTTTGAGAAAGATCGTTCTCAAGTTGTCAGAGACAGAAATGGTTAAAATAATCCTTAATGAAATAATTTAAAACTTCTAAAGGCTTTATGCCTTTATTGCTCTGCATTATTTCGCTCAAAGTTAAAATTTCATTGTGTAATTTATTTGGATCTTATCAATACATTGAATATGTAAGTTCTGACACCATTTCAAAACACCTTTTGATTCCATTTCTTTCAAGGTAAGAATATCATACAGAAATTAGAGGAGTGACTATGGGATTCCAATCGATTGAATTTCTACTGAACAGAATTAATTAGTTGATACTAAAGAGTTAAAATTAGGTTCATATTTCTCTTTTAAATTAATTTCGAAAAATAAATGACTACTTAATTTTTAATTATTTCCTTCACTTATTAATAATAAATTACCAATATTTTAATTGCCCTGTTTACATACCTGAATTGCCCTATTGACAATACTTAAAATGTTGCCCTTAAAATAATGCCTGAGGCGATCATCTCACCTAACCAGTCGGTCCTGACGATCAAAATATTTTTCTTTAACAAAATAATTAACACTGCACGTCATTTAGTGTAAAAAAGTGAATGAATGACTGCTGTAATTGTATGGTGTAGGTATTCAATATCTTGATGGATTGAGGTCCACGTTTTCTCAGTTCACCAATCGCAGCCTTACATAAATCTAGGACTTGTGATATAATACTGTTACTGATTTTTTTTGTTATTGTGTAGCAGGTTTTTCACGACGTTGTCTGTTTTTACATCATCTTATGAGTGTTCATTATATTGCTTAAAATTGGGCAAACTGTCTGTAAGGACAACAATGTTGGATTAAAGGTTTTGCCAAATATTTGACCGAAAAAAAGTAGGAGATGTTACAGAAGAGCCCATTTCTTCTCTTGTCTAGAGATTTTTCTTGAAAATCTGAGTAGGTAGTTTTTATGGGAATAAAAAAAAAATTAAAAACTTAACACTTTAAAATTATGGAAATGCCTTAGACTGAAAAACAATGAATATCGTTGTAAATAATTCTCTTTACAAAAAGGTAGAAAAAACATTACTGAACAAATAAACGAAGCATTTAAAACAAAGTGTAAAAGTCCATTAAAATTCTATAATATTAAATGTTAGTTGTTCTACTAAATCACCATTACGATTAATGTATTTTGTATTGTATTGACTTGTGTGATTATTCAAATGGAATATTTTCAGTTACTCATTTTTGTACTTACATTCCTGGGATGATTTTGATTAATTTTTCTTGGAGAGAATCCCAAGAATTAGAGTCAGCTCTGTTAGATACAGAGATCTTGCTTGCAATTTAATTCAAGGAATGGCTCTGTATATCTGTTTGTCACGAACGTGTTCATTTTTAGCCAACTCTTTACAACTGATGCAGTATCTGACTGAAGGTACATGTCCTTCCATTCTTGCCATAGAACAAACAAGTGGATCTGGAACGAGATAAATGGAAACAATAACTAAACAATCGTTAAAATAAATTGTAAAATGTGTACACAATCGGTGGAGAGTACAATATATGGCACTGTTTGTTATTCTTGGACCTTGCAATCTTTAATTTTTATGTTTACAAACTTACTTAGGTTTACACGAGCCATGCAAATACGACTATGTGCCAACTGTCAAGAAGACCACGCAGAGCGGTCCAACTGACACGAAGATGCAAATAGAAAGAGTACTGTATACTGAATAAGATTTACAGGAAACAACTACTCAGCGGACAAAAGCCCCGACCTGCGTTGAATTAAACCTGCAAGTCTTGTTTGGTAGCTAAAATCATTTATCAATTCCTCACTAGACATATACCGATTTCGAACTTGTTACGTTCTCGTCAGTATGCCATAAGTAATGAAAAAGACAAGTAATAATAGCAAACCAGGCTAGCATAAAGTAGACTAAGCAAGACAGACACAGTGAGTGACAAGTGTATCCTTCTAGTGCTCAGTGCTACTACCGCTATCCGTTGAGTAGTTGTTTCCTGTAAATCTTATTACTGAATAAGATATAACTATATACTGATATAGTTTAGCCTACCAGGGTTAGAGGTCGCAGCTCTTGGTACCTGCCTTGCGGGTCGCTATCAGTCACCAAGACATCAGTGATCGAGGTCCGTAAAGGAGTAGTTTACCTCTTAACTTGGGAAAGGAGAGACGGAAGGGGAATGTAACGCGTCATAGTGTATGCCGTGTTGTGAATCACACGTTTGTTGTGTTTCTTTTTATAATCGTTTTGTGTGGTTATTTGCTGTTATTTTAATATTTTGCTTATAGTTATTATTATTTATGTTATATTATGATGTTATGGACCTCTTTTTATAGTTTTTACGTGGTATTTTGACTTTTTAAGTGACATTTGGATTATTGTATAAAGGATAATATTTGGTTTAAATTACATTTATTTTGAGCAGGCATGTATAATAAGATGAAGTATATGTATTTTGAGGGAGAAGAAATATCCAGTTAATAATAAGTAATAATTTTAAGTTGACTACGGAACTATATGTAGTGTTGTTATTTGTAAGGGTAATGCTGAGAGGGAAAAGAAGAATGGAGAAAAAATATCATTTTTCTCGTTTCCTACTGACAATTAGGAAATAGTGGATTAGAAAATGTTAAAGAAAAGAAAAATTTAACCCCGATAATAAAAGACTTTGCAATAAACATGTTACAATTGATGATTTTAAAGATGGAATGAAATCAAAATTGATGATTGTATTGCCAAAAAAAAACTAAAAAAAAAACTGGTAGGCAATATAAAACTTATCTACTGAAAAATAATTTGTGACTAATTTTATTATGTTTTAGCTATTCCATCGTTCAATTTGTTGCCTGAAACTTCGACAAAAATGTCTAGCCCAACTGCAAGAGGTGAACGTGTTAAAACTATAGAATGCAAAGAGATCGTAAACAAATTTTAAGTTCATCATTGTCTATAGAAAATGTGGAAAACATTCCATCCACAGGTAAAAGGAAATCCCCAAGAAGGTGCATAATATGAAGAATTACTACGTAATTATAATGTTCTCTTGCTAGAGACTGAAGAATTTAAGAAAAAAAAATCAAAGACAATGAAAAACAGCTTGCTTTTGTATATAAAGGAAAATTCGAGTTGCAAAAACTTGTTAAACAATATGAAAGACAATCAAATTCAAGAGTAAAAGAAATGTAGG